TATATATATATATATATATATATGTATTCTTCCTTTTTTTCGGTATGATTAAAGATTCTAGGAGAGAACACTGGAAATAGATAAATAAATAAACATCGTTTTATATGTCACATTTTGTTTGGACGCGATATATATATGTATATCTTCCGCTCATCCGGAATTTAGCATTTAAAGTGACTGCATCACCCGATGCCAAACCTGGAACTTCTTACACGGTGGTAATTCACATGCAAGGTAGTAATTCTTTGCTGTTATCTGCGGCGCTTTTGCCTTCTCGTGCTCATCTGTGTAGAATAGATGATGCTATGGTGCCTCTTCCAAATATTTTGACTTCTGCACCATCACTGATGTTGGAAGTTCGTATAAGCTGTTTAAATCTTACCGTCAAGAGGATTAGATAAGCAGTGTAATGAAAATGCCTCAAGCGTGAGAGTAACTAAAAATTCCTTAGCTCTTTTTATAAGCAGTTCAAAAAAGCGAGAAATTTGTATCATTTTGTCTGAAATAGCTTTAGGCAGTTCTATGCCAAATGACACACTGTTTCAAACGGCATCTTAGACTTTCTATATTCTTTGCTAGTTTGTAAGACCTGGTAGCTAATCGCCGAGCCAAAAGTGTTTATCTTAGAGAGTGCGGTAAGGGCAAAGTTAGGCTGTTCTGAAATAAAAAAAAAGTGCATTTTTTAATAAATGTGTAATCTTGTTGTTTTATGATGCATGTTTAAACGCTAGTTCTTTCCAAACTTTCTTGCTAGGAGGAAGAAGTGCCTATAACAAGCTAAATAAAACTTTAAGACGAAAATCAGAATCGGTAATAATTTTTTTGAGAGGCAAGTGTTATATAAGTATTTTGGAAGCCGTGTATTTATTAAAATCGTGATTCCTGTATAATAATTTAAAATTAAAATACGGTACTTTTACAGCATTACAAATTATGGTGCGATTATTGGGATTAAACTGCAAAAAGTCTTCAGCTCACGCAGCATTTTGGCGCTTCTGCAAGAAAAGATGTTCCAGTTTTCCCTGGGGTACTATTATCCTGCATAAATTAGTTTCGCCGATTCAGCCGACCATTCTTTTGATCGCAAAATATGAGGCTTAGTCTTACCTAATGATAACAAATGTCACTTTGCTGTTACTTGTCCAACAGTGTGTAAATTTGTGGTTCTGCTGACGGCTTAGCAGTGGTAACTCAGGAGTCAATTTGACGATATGGATGGACAAGTACTCGAGCTGCAGCCTGTTTTTCTGCACACTACTTTATCTAAAAAAAATTTTCAGCTCCCACTATCTCTAAGGTCTTGTTGTAGTCACAAATTTCGTCTATTACGACGCAGTAAACACTGACGTATTTTAACGTCACCTTTTTAACTTTCTAAATAGAAAATGCAATATGAAAAACATTTTGGTTTTTTCGGATTTTCCGCCAAACATCGGCACAAAAATTGCAAAGGCTTTTTCGAAATCTCATCATCTAGTCTACGCACTGATGAAGCCGCAGCAGACTGGCATTTTCTAACAAACCCATATTGAATTTTTGGCCTAACGAAACCAAGCAGTCAAAAAAGAGCTTTACCATAGCATAGCAACTGCGAAAATCCAAAAAAACTTAAGGTACTGCGAATGTAACTGGATTTTAAAACTTGACTGTCTGGGGATTTGGTTTTTCAGCAGACATTATTTTGAAAGCTTTGTCAGTTTTCATTGTTTTACTAAAATCGGCGATCAGAGCAAACTTTTTGGTTTTCTCGAGAACGGCCTTGGTTTAAGAAGGTTTCGTGGTTGTAGGAAACGATTTAGCAATAAACCAGTGGTACTTACATATGTCTGACGCTTTTGATATTTCATGCTGGTTTCTCGCACCACTATGTTCTTTCGGCCTTCTCATGATGTCGATATAGTTTCAAATTTCCAAAATCCTCGATCTTCTACGGATTCGTTGCTTAGCAAGCTTTTTTTATTCTTACGACTTTTTCCTCCTTTTTGTTACAAATCGTCGCAATAATGAGGGTAATCCCTCTCATGGCTAATTAACAGACATCCCCAGTCGGTTTTGGAGTCACTAAATTAGTGGACACAGGTAGAGAAACGAAAAGTGAACCGCTCACTCTCCTACGAGGTCTTTGTAGACCAGAAAGACATCAAGAGCTGTCTCCCTGCGGGTCATCCTCACACAAGAATTGCGTTCAAATTATTCTGAAATCCGATCAAATTTAGAGGGTGTCAATAGGACTCTTCAAAAGAGATGTGCTAATCAGTTGAAAATATTGCAGCCCCCTTGCGTTTTGAACAATATATTGTCCAACACGTCGAAAGCAAATGGACCAAGGCCATTTCCTACGAATTGTGAAGAAGCACAGCCGAAAATCATTTGATTTTGGGAATGGTTTAATTTTTCAGTATTTTTAAAAATAAACTATCACTGCAAGCCTTTCGCTCATTAAAATCCAGCAGAGTTTTTTCCCTGTTGCCAACTCCTTATCTGCTAATGGCTTCAACGGCGATTTGTCTCTAATTGATTTCAAGCCACTTAAATGACCGTAATGAGATTAAACATTTAGCATAAATTTTTAGGCAACTTTTATTGATTTAAGTGAAAAAATGGTGACAAGAAAACATCTATGAACTGTGGCTATAAAACGACGAATCGAGCATTGG